GTGATCACACAGGCTGGTGTGCTTCTTCCATGTGGGCTTTGTTGCTTCTGAGCTAGATGGCCGCTTGTTTACCTTCAAGCCTTTAAGACCCCAGAGGGTATATCTTTTGATAGCCAGGCACCATCAGCTTTCTTCGCCACATTTGCTTATGCATCGAAGCCATTACTTCTAAAGGCCCCCTATCCATGGCAAAAGAGGAGGAGGAGGAGGAAGGAGAAAAGGGGAACATTGTAAAAACAGATTAACCCAGCCATTTGCAAGGAGCGAGTAGGGTGCCTTCAACTCCTGTTCACGAGTTACAGTCTCTGAAACTCACAGGGGCAGTTCTAGCCTGTCCTATAGGGTTGCTGTGAGTCAGAAGTGGCTCTGATGGTGGGCGACTTTGGTTTTGTTTTTCTCTTCATGGGAAGGGAAAGGCGACCTTGTACAAAGAGGGCTGTTTCACATGCTCTGGCTCCCCACCTTCTGGGCCAGGGTCACTGCCATCTTCCACACAGGTCATCATGCCTGTGTGGACGGGTCCTCTGGAGGACCTGCAGAAGGCTGGTCGGATCTGCACTCCAGGAGGCCACGGTGACTTGGATTCTGCACCACGAGGGCTCTCTAACAAAGAGGCCATCGATCAGGGTGGCCATCTGTCCCCGCTGGCCCAGAGATGAGGAGCTGGCAGAGAGAAGAAGTCAGCAAAAGAGGTTAGCTCTCTAACGCCTACCAAACACCTGGGGGCAGGCAGTCCAGCAACACAGCTTGGACAACAACAAAATCCAGACTCACTGCTGTCAAGTGGACGAGGACGCGTGGCACCCAGATAGCACCCGGGAGAACTGCCCCATGAGCTTCTGAGACTGTAGTTCGTTGTGGGAGTAGAAAGCCGCCTCTCCGCCCTTGCAGCTACCGGTGGATTCAAACTGCTGACTTTGCAGTTAGCAGCCCAATCTGTAACCCACCATGCTACTCGGGCATCTCTAGATGTTGACGGGGCTGAAAAAGCCACCGTAAATAAGGTTTCAGATACAGATTCAGGCGAGTATATGCAGAAAAGTCTAGTTTCCAGTTGGGGCCATGTGTCTTTGTTGTTTTATAAGAAAGGCTGGCGACTGACCACTTCATTCGTGCAAGGGAGCAACACGACTGTCGCTCGCTGCTTAGAATGCGACTGAAAATCACCAGGGAAGAAGCTTTTCCTGGGAATTCCTGAGCAACATCCCCAGCTGCTTCGCTTCGGACAAATACTTTGACCTCTATGAACTAACAAGGGTTGCAACTGAATATGAGCTTTTTGAGGGGCGAGTCTTATAAATCGCGGGTGCCTTGCCAGAGCAGTCTGTGAAAAGAACCACCAGAAAGCATGTGCGATGGGAAGATTGTGAAATCTATTGCTGACAAGGAGGAATGTGGGATATATGAATTTTGGAATGGGACGTTTGTTTCCTTTGGTAATGATGAGAATTCTCTGAAAACAAGAACTTGGGCTTGAACTTGAAATGCAGGAAGCCTGCCAGGGTTGAATGCACAAGGGTTCTATTCAAACATGATTACCAAAAAAGAAAAAAAAAACCATTGCTGCCTCACAGCCATTGCGTCTACTCTGACTCACGGAGACCCGAAAGGGCAGAGCAGAGCTGCCCCTTTGGATTCCCA